ATTACAAAAACAGAGGAGAAGGAAAAAATTGAAATGGAGGTCAGAAGAGACTCTACATATTTCACTGGAGCATCGAGAAGCCAAATGTAAATGAAAACATTGAAGCGAAGGAACTGAACAGACGATTTCAAAGGGCAGCTCGGGAGGACAAAGCAAAGTATTATAATGGAATATGCAGAGAGCTGGAATTGGAGAATAAAAAAGGAAGAACTCACTCTGAATTTCTCAAACTGAAGGAAATGAAAAATAAATTTAGACCTCGTGTTGCAATGTTGAAAAGATGCTATAGGTAATATATTGAATGACTCAGAGAGCATTAAAAAGAAGATGGAGGGAATACACAGAAATACTGTACCAGAAAGAATTTATTGACATTGAAAAATCCCAGGAAGTACCATAAGAACAGGAGGAATGAAGGAGGAAGTGGAAGCTGCATTGAAGACATTGGCAAAAAAATAAGGCCCCAGGAATCGATGGGATACCCATTGACTTAGTAGTAATCATGAAAATGATTCATAACAAAGGAAAACTTTTTTTCTTCCATCAAATTGGATTAAAAAGAATTATGTCTGGTGGATACAAGAGTATGGAGAGATGAGTGCTGACATAAAAATTGGTAGAGCATTTGCTATGAAAAAAAAATAATAGCTGCATCTATCAAAATGTAAATGTGTTTATGTCCATTAAGACCACCAACTCCACTTCTTGGCACCCACAAAGAAAAAGAATATTCGCTGCAACATTGTATTGGGGGAAAGTTAAAAATCATGAATAAATATTATGGTTTGTCCATATCATGAAAAAGTATGTAGTTGAGTGTTGAATATCCCATGGACTGCTAAGAGGCTCCTTGGAGGCAAGGATTCTGAAGCTTCATATGACATACTCTGGACATGTTGCAAGGTGGGCTCAGTCCTTGGAGAAGGACCCATGCTTGGGAGGGTAGAGGGACAGCGCAGGAGAGGAAGAACCTCTATGAGGTGGATTGATTCAATGACTGACTGGGAGTAGGTGTGTTGAGACAGTGAGATTGGCACAGGATAGAGCAGGGTTTAGGGCTGTTGTACATAAGGCCGCTATGAGTCATAGGCGATTTGACAGCACATAACAACAACAAACAACAATATAAAAAATATCATCAGACTGCTCACCAAAATGTGAGCTTCTTGAGTCCAATAGCTGTTGTGCAGAAGAGAGATTGGTATCTTCTCTTATAAAGACATAAAATCTCAGAAACCCAATGCAAGGTCACTATGACTATCTCATTACAATGGCAGTGTGGTAGTGTGATACAAAGAATGAGGCAGCTCCATAGACATTAACCCAGAAAGAGACACAAGAGGAGGTGAATGAGCAAAAGTAAACTTAGAGACGTCTGTATAATGTGGACACAATTACATTTTAAAACAAACAACAAATGTGGGTGAGCATATATGCAATACCAAGGAAAGATTATGAGCACACTGACTACACTGTAGAGAACACACCACTTGCTATTTACAAAAGGTCTCTTGGGGGCTGTTGTTTTGCCATCAGATGGGTTCCTACTCACAGCAATCCCACATGACAGAGTAGGACTGCCCCGTGGGACTATCTTGGGTATCATCTTTCTGGAGTCAGACCTCCAGATCGTTCTCTCATGGAGTTACTGGATGGGTCTGAACCATTAATCTTTTGGTTAGCACACAAGTGTTTTAACTGTTTTCATCACCAGGACTCCTCTTTGGGGGAGAAAAGTTGTAATTGGAGTGGGAGTGGATATGAGAATTAAAAATAAAACTCATATGATCATGCTCATATTTTATTCCATTTTCTACTCTAGTATATGAATTTCTTTAAATAAACATAAATTCTTTCAATCTGAAAAAGAGTAAAATCTTATTCTTCCATTTTGTTAGCAGTGAGACCCCTGATCTGAGCCACTCAGTTTACCTAGACCATGACACAAAACACCTAGCTTGTTTTTCTGATTGCTTCTGCCCTTGCTTCAGATTATCAACACAATCTGAAAAAAAAAGACCACAACAAAACACAAAACCAAAGTCTTTGTCTCAAGTCAATTCTAACTCATAATGACCAAGTCACACTTAAATCTTACTTCTCAGATGGCCACCTTCCTGAAGGGCTATCTGAAGTGGTCACACCCACCTTCTAGTCTCTCTCCATCCACACCACCATGTTATTTTCTTCTAAAACAAGGAGTTATCTGAAGTTGTTCTGGTTGTTTGTTTATTTCTCACCACCATGAAAACAGAAACCTTGTCTATCTTATTTGCTACTGTCTCACCAGCACCTAGAATCATATTTGATATCTAGTTCAATACATACTGGAAAAATGAAAGAAGGAAGGAAGGAATAGAGTTAGAGGTGTTGGGAAAGCAAAGAGAAAAGCTTTCATATTTGTCTGACTTTGATCTAAAACTTGGTTTTGTTGTAACATCCTATTTGTGGTCAGGACACAGGGGGAAGGGGCTGTAAGACACCACCCCCACCATCACCATAGCCTCTACTAACTACTAACCCTTGGAGGTCAACTCCCAGTAAAGTAGCAAAGACAGTCTACACTGTCTTTATTATTATTAACAAATAATGTTATTTATTAAAATATGCCCAGAGTCTGTTATGCATTTACCATTATTAAGCCTATGTCAGATGTCCTCAGCATTGCAAGAACGGTATTTTAATTATTATTTCAGAGATGCGAGACTGAAGCCTAGAAACAATGGGTGACTCTTTGAAGGTAACAATCCTAACCAGTGACAGCTGTGATTCAAATCCAGGTTGGTCAACCTTCAAATCCCATCTTTTTTCCACTATCCTTTGCCACAACCTACACTTAAGGAGTGAAATGCTTTCTCAAAGCCCTGTTCTACTGCTTTCTAGTCTCTCTCTTCCTTGATTCTCTGGAGAAACAAAGATGGCAGGAAGCACTAGAAAAAGGAAATGATGAGAATTCTTTTGCTGACTTCACAAATAGAGCTGAAGTGAAGTAGCCATTGGCAAGGTTAATGTAAAATGGTGGTTCTCAACCCTCACTACACATTGTCATCATCATCATGGCTGTTTGGAAAATACTGATGCTTGAGCCCCACCTTAGACTGGGACTAATTGCAATTGAATCTACAACTTGCTTGACCATGAAGGTGAAGCTCCCAGCTGACCCGAATGTATAACCAGGGCTCAAAATCCTGCTCTAGTTTGCACAGGGCCCCAAGCACCCACACATTGATCTCCTGAGTCATTACCAGAAAATGAGTACAAGTGTGAGAAGCATTTCTGAAGACATTCAGGTAGGCTGTTTTTTACTTGATGTATAGCTTTTGTACAGCAATAGTATCTGTAGCCCAATAAGAGTTGTTGGCAAGGTGGTTTCAATTCATGGTAATCTGTATGTGTCAGGATAGTACTCCATTGGAAGGTCAATTAACAATATTTGTCTCCAGGGCTTTCTTCTGAGAAACATATGTGTGAATTTGAACCTCCAACTTTTCAGCTGACAATCAAGTCACTTAATCATTCACACCAGCCAAAAACACCTCTAAGCAAAAAGGAGACATGAAACAGAGGTATAAGGATTCAATCATCCTTAGCTCAAAGAATGAAACAAAGGAAGGAACAAGTGTAGAAGGCCATAAACTTGGCAGGAAGTTCTCCAAAGCTTGGGGGAGGGGCCATGGAGTTCTTTTTCACTGAGGGGGAAGTGAGGGAAGCAGGAACAATGAATAAAGCAAATGTCATTCTTGTTTCAGATTGAGAAGAGCTCATAGTAAATATCCATCTGTTTTACCATAGTTAGGGAATGCTTATTGCACAGTGGCTTTTCAGAGAACAAAATTGAAATCAATACAATAATGATTTTCATCTTAGTGTAATATACCCTCAATTATTTTAGTATTTAAAAAAAAAAATGCCAAAACTACTAAGATAATAGAACACGTCCTCCCTCCAGGGGAAGACAAGGATAACTCAAGGTTACAAAGGAGCCATCCTGGTGGGGGGGAGGGGGGAAGAAGAACGAACTGGGGAGGAGGGTGGAGAAAACAGTACAACAATGAAGGAATGAAAACCCAAAATCTCTGTAAATGTTCATTAAAACTAATAAAATTTAATAATAAAAAAGGAGCCATTCTTTGAACCATCTTCCACATTGTGACAGAAAGACTTTCTAAACACAGCTTGGATGCAGTCACTCCTCTGCTTCACATCCCTTAAGTGTTCTCCATTCCCCAGGTCTCCAAACCTCCCTCCCTGTGCACCCACCACATACCACCCTGTCCTCCAGCCACTCTCCACACTCAAAAAAAACACTTTGAAGGACAATTAATTTCTATTATGTGTAGTCTTTCTATTCCTAGGTTTATAGCTCTCCCAAAATGATGGCCAGCCTGCAGTCTTGCAAATGATTGGTGTATTTACCACTTGCATTCGTGACTTGCTGAGACTGGTTGATTTACTAACTGCATAATCATTTTGTAATCCTCCCAATAGGATTGAAAAGCTGAGGAACTAACTGGTCAGTTTAGTGTCCTGCTGAGACGACCATGTCTCGAGATCAACAGGGATTATTAGCATCTCGAGATCCCATTATTAGCAGTCAATCTCACAACTGTTGGTGGGTTGGAACTTTATGACCAAGAAGAACTTGGAGGAGCACATTAATTAAACCAAGATCTTTGCATTGAAAACCTTCTAGATCAAAATAATAGAGTTGTATGTAGTACAAGTCAAGGACTGTGACGCTGAACTGATAACACTGAAGACAAACAGCAGCAGAGCCAATGGCAGAAATCAGAGGCCCAGAAGGGCTGGGGATCATTGTTTCTAAGGGTCAAGAAGAAATTAGTTTTGATAGAAGATGCTAGCAGAAGCCTGGGAGACCTAATATGGGGGGCCGTCTTAAGAAGTGCAAAGCTGGCAACACAAAGTACAGTTAAGCCTAGCATCAGGGGAATATGGTAAAAGGCATAAGGAGAAAGTTTAGAAGTTGCCTGGCAGCTTTCTTAGCAGTGCAAGGCCCCCAAACCAAGCAGAACACAGCACAACCGAGCCTGCTGGACCCTGGGCAATGAGTAGAAGCGAGAGGCAGCAATGATGAGTCCCAGCTTGCCTGCCTAATAACAGAAAAACTGACATGAGTAATTTGGGGGAAAGTTAATCAATTCCCTGTTGAGACATAAACAGATTCCTTTCCTACCAAGTGGGTTATGTGTACGGAGTGAGTGAGACCATGCACCATAAGTAATTTGTTCTTTCAGTTTATCATTTATTTTTTTATAAATAACAATAGCTATAACTATGTCAAGACTGTGCATGTCTTCTGTGTAAAGTTTGATCAGATTGTATGAACAGAGCATTCATTCATGGATCAGGTAAAACTCTCATTCCCAGCAGTCTTACTATTGCTTAGAATTTTCGAGGCAAAACCTGTATACCTAATACAGACAGACACATGTACCCCAGTCCTCCAAGTTCTGGAGAATGTCGCCATATTTTCTAAGACTCAGTTCAAAAGTCATTTCAACTATGAAGCTTTTCCTGACCATTCATATAAAACAGACCCTCCCCCTCCCCTGCCTACACCTCCCAACTATCATGACCCCTTATCATTGATCACATTTGCATGTTTACTCATCTGACTTATCCACCCGGACTCTGAGTTCTTTGATAGAGATTATATTTCATTCATTTATACATCCAGCATTTATAAAAGTGATCGATACAAAGTTTTCAGTAAGAATTTATTTTTAAAAGTGAATTAAACTGAATGAATAACTTTCCACATGTTTTTCTCTCTTTCTCAGGCTCTTGCTTCCCCGCCCCCGCTCTTCCACTCTTTATCTCCAGTCACTACACACAGATCCACCGGGCAGGAAGAAAAGAAAAAACACGACATGGCGAGAGAGGGACGTCCCTTGTGGTGACAGTTCTGTATCAGTAGGGCTGTCTGTCTTTACTTACCATTGACGTTCTGTGCCCAGTGGCTAAAGGCAGAGGGGACGGGCTGTTCTCCCGATGTGCAAAGTCCAAGCAGGAGTTATTCTGAGAACTGGAGCTACCAGAATCGCTGTGCAGTTGTCCTTTCTCAGAAAGCAATCTAGACAGAAGACTGACTTTGCGACTGGCTGGGCGAGATCTGTCGGACCAGAAGCCACCTTCTCTCACACTGTCATCGCTGTCCCTGCAGTGACTGTGCAAATCTAAGAGGGGCTCACCTGCAGGCTTTACATCCTGGGGCTGCTCCCAGGTTCCTGGTGCATAGGATTGACAGTGTCTAGGGGCTGTTGTTCTCCCCAGCCAGGGCTGGGAAATTGTCTGTAGACTAAAGGAACGACGGTCTGGCTGCTGTCCATGGTCCTTCATTCTGACCACGCCATTCCAGAGGCATGGACTGTGGACTGGGAGCTGTCCACCGTGCTGGTCTTTCTGATCCCAGTCCTTTTTGCCACAGCAAGGGATTACCTCCGGTTGCCTGGCCACTGGAATTTCTGAGGCGGTTTCAGGCTTTGGCATATTAACTCGGATGTTTTTTAGTTGATTGCTGGCTTGGAGTAGAGAGTTTCTATCAGGCAAGGAATTGCAAATCATACATTGATGGGTGACTGAATATTTCTTTAAATGGAACGGAGGGCCTTTTTCATCCTCAGTGACCTCACTGCTGGATTTCTCATAAAGTACCCTCATTATTTTCCTGATACCCAGATGAAATATTTCCAGAATATTAAGAAATAAGGATATGGCTGCAATACTGTGCATAAAGATCATGAAAATGGTCTTCTCTGTGGGCCTGGACACAAAGCAATCAACTGCATTGGGGCAAGGAGGTTGTGAACATTTGAAAAGAGGGTGCAGTTGAAACCCATAGAGAATATACTGGCCTATCATGAATCCTACTTCAAGCACAGACCTGGTCAGGATGTGTAAGACATAAGTACGCAGCAGACATCCTCTCAGAGGAACTTTATGTATTCTCTTCTGTTCTTCTAACATCCTCAGTTCCCTCTCTATTCTTTGCTGCTCTTCCAAGTCAAGCTCTGGGCTCTCCATCTGTGTTCGAAGATGTGACTTTTTCCTCTTTCTTTCTTTCTCAAAGACCCTGAGTCTGTAAAGTGCATGGCCCATATATACCAAGGAGGGAGAAGAGACAAAGATGATCTGTAAAACCCAGAACCTGATCAAAGAGATAGGGAAAGCGTGGTCATAGCAGATATTTTTGCATCCTGGCTGCTGGGTGTTGCAGACAAATGCTGACTGTTCATCCTCCCAGACATCCTCCGCAGCCACACCAAGCACCAGCATTCGGAAGGTGAAGAGGATGGTCAGCCAGATTTTCCCCACTATGGTTGAGTGAGAGTGAACTTCCTCTAAGATGCCACCTAATAAGTTCCAGTCCCCCATGGTTAGAGACTAATGGCTGAAATACACATAAAACACTACAATTAATAGCACCCAAGGATATAATACACATACACAGGCACATATATACAACAGGCTTTTTTTTTTATATCACAAACTGTGAAAGACTTCCCAGCCTCAAGAGCTGTCTTCTACATTTGATGAGGGGGAACTCTAGTGATGTAGTCAGTAAGATCTTGTACAGCTAATTCAAAGGTTGGGATTCTCCGGTGGTTCAAATTCATCAGCTGCTCTTTGGGAGAAAGATGGGCTGTCCGTCTCCTTGCATTAAGGTTTACAACATTTGAAATCTGACAGAAGGTCACTCTGAGTCAGAACCAACTTGATAACACTGACTTTTTTTTTTTCACAATCCATGAAATGTTTCTAAGGAATATCTATTTTTAAAAAAAGATTTTCCAACAGATAGACACAGTTTCCTTCCTACTGCTTTCCTACACAAAGCTGTGATGCTAGTAAGTGAGTATACTTGCTGGCCTCCATATTTGCACAAAGCATTCCCATACAATTTTGCTCATTTTTCTCTTTAAAAACCATGCAGTCTTTAAGATATTTAACAGGTCCTAATTTCTCCAGGAGGTCTTCTCTGATCATCCCAAATCACTATGATCTTTTCCTTTCTTGAATCCCCAAAACATGATTGTGTATAGTGTTTGGCATTTGGGACTGTGGTAAATTAAGTTGTTCCTAGTTGCATCTATGTCCTCTTCCTGGAAAAGTACACTCCTCGCAGGCAGACATTCTTTCTATGGAATGTTAATCTTTGCACACACGAGACATCAATTGGTAGTAGTGAGTTGAATTGCCCTTCCATTTTAAACCATTGTCCTTCAACTCTTTCACTGGAATAATTATCAACATGAAATAAAAAGTAGATCTACATGTATTATGGGGCGCAATGTAAACTTGAAACTTCAAGTAAAAAAAAAGAGAGCTCAAACAAGTTTTCAGAAAATGGCTCAGACAGGAGTAGCAGAGAAGTTAGATAGACCCAGAAATGGGACCAGTAAAAGGCATTCGGTTGGTTTCACAAAGTGTCATCAGGAGCAGAATGTTTTCATGGACACTTGATTAAGTCAGGAGAAAATGCATCTGCTGCTTCTGTAGCAATCTTTGGTTCTGTAAAAGAAAGGAGACATAAATGAAATGGAAAAGGTTGCTTGTTTTATACTTGGGGGGGTGGAAAGAATGTCTTTCAAAGTTCTATAAGATTAAAATATTTGCTAGGTTTAAAACTTTGAAAATAGAGATATAGAGGTTATGGAGGGAAAACAGGACAATATTCCATTAAAAATAAAGGGACTTTTTCCTTCCATAATTCATTTTTTAGGTGTCTCTGTAGCTTAGTCCATAGGAAATTACAATAGTAACCCAAAACAACTCTTCTCTGGCCATTCCAATCCACCAGTAGCTCCTTGGAAATTAGACGAGCAACTTCCTTCCATGAGATTTACAGTCTTCCAAAAACCCACTGGACGGTCAGCTATGGGTTGGTTCAAATTCCATGGCAATGAGAAAGTGAGAGATAATTCATTCCCACCACTCAAGAGGGCTCTGGTGGCTTAATGGTAAGGAGTTGCACTGCCAACCCAAAGGCATGCAGTCCGAGTCCACCAGCTGCTCCACACAATTAAAATGCCTCTGAAAACCTGCTGAAGGTTTAACTGTGAGTCAATTCCAACTTGATTGTACATAAACAACAATTCATCTGTCAGTCTGATGGCTGTGGTTTCTTGGGTGTTGCTTGTGATACTGGAAGTTAGGCCACCAGTTACCGAGGTGGACAGGTTTCAGCACAGCTTCCAGAGATGAAGCAGGCCTGACCATTCCCTCACTTCATACTTCAGAAGTACTCCAGGCCTTCGTATAGTACTGGAACATTGCTCAGTGTGGTTCCTCAGATTGGAAGGTACTAAAAAATACAACTAAGGAAGAGCTGCCTCCTCAAAGTAGAATCTAGCATAATGGATAGAGTAAAGCTCCGACCCAAAAAAGGCTCTTCTTGTACTGAGGTGACAAGACTAAAAATGAGGAGAAACAGCTGGAAACATCCATTAATAATTGGGATGTGGAAAGTACATACTATGAGTCTAGGAAAAGTGGATTTTTAAATTTTTTTCTTCTATATTGGTTTATTTACAAAGTTTGTATGCATTGTGTTTCACACTATTCTTCATTCACAATTGTTTCATGCAACCATTCCATGCATTATGTTTTATAGAACTAATCACCTCTGGACTATAGCCATTATTACCCTGTCTTTTCATGTCTCTACCAGATCTTTTCTCTTTCCTTTATCACTCCCTTTACCCACAAAATTATGCAACCCTGTGATTTTCCCCTACCCATCCTCACCCTTCTGATCCCATTCCATACCCCCTTGTATGAGTCCCCGTATATGTTTTGCTAGTTATCGTTCTATTACTACAATAATGGTCTTATGAAAAATGGATATTTTAACAAATAAAATGGCATGCATAAACATCCTAGGCATTCATTAACTGAGATGGACTGGTTGGTATTGACCATTTTTAATCAGATTATCTACTACGCTGGAAATGGCAAATTAAAGAGGAATACTGTCACATCCATCATCAAAACAAACATTTTAAGATCTACCCTGAAGTACAGTATTGGCAATGATATAGTAAGATTTGATAATTCAACTATTATTCAAATACGCTAGTCTGAAATGGATTGAACATAAAATCAAGGGGCATCGATTGGGCCTAGTAAGTGAGCTCTGGAGGTCTAGTGGTAAGGAGCTGTGCTTTCAACCTGAAGGCAGGCAGTTCAAATCTATCAACTGTTCTGCAAAAGAAGGATGGGCAATTTCCTCCTATGCAGTTTACTGCCTCTAAGAAGCCACTGGAGAGTCAGGTATTAGTTAGTTCCTACTCAACAGTCCACAACAGCAACAAGAATGTGAAGGAGAGCACACTTGAGTGGACTGAAGCAGGTTGGACAGCAGGCTCTCAAGTGCAGCAGCGGGAGAATGAGCAATTAAGAGGATCAAGGGTAGATGACCTCACAAGTCTCTTTCCTGGAAGAGATCATCCTGGAGGTAGGCATGGGAGCAGCCACGGGCCACCTGCAGGGGCCCTGAGTGCTGGAGGCCTAGAGGATAAAGAGTTATGCCAAAGTCTGACAGTTCGAATCAACCAGCTACCCCACAGAAGAAATATGAGCAATCTTCTCCAGTGTCATTTAAAGCCTCTGAAAGACCAGTGGAGGGTCATCTATGAGTCGGTTCTACTTAAACGGCAATGAAAAAGACACTGAAAGAATTCCAAAGTAAAAACAAAGAAGGACTTGTAGTTGGAAAGTATGGCCTTGGTAACAGAACTGAAGCTGGAGATCACATAACAGAATTTTGTACAACTAACCATTTGTTCATTACAATGAACTAAAACAAGAACAACAATAAAAACACCTAAAAACCACACAACTATGCACAAGGACCTCACCTGATAGACTACACGAGAATCAGACTGAGAATATCTGTGGAGATAAATGATAAAGAAGCTCAATATCCTCAGTCAAAATAGGGCCAAGGCTGACAGTGGAACAGACCACTAGTTACTCATGTGCAAGTTCAAATTAAAAAAGAAAATTAAAACAAAGTATACAAGAATCAAAATGCAACCTCAAATTTATCCCACTGGAGTTTAAAAACATTCTCAAGAATAAATTTGATTCATTGAACATCAATGACCAAGGACCAGATGAGTTAGGTCATTGGTATTGTCACTCAGTGGGGTGACATCAAGGACAACATCCATGCAGAAAGCAGAAGGAAGGAAGGAGAAAGGGAGGAAAGGAAGAGAGAGAGAAACAAAAATGGATGTCAGAACAGACTCTGAAACTTGCTCATCATTGTAAAGAAGCCAAAATGAAAAGTAGAATTAATGAAAAAAAAAGAGTTAAACAGAAGATTTCAAAGGGCAACTCCAGAGACAAAGCAAAGTAATACAAAATATGCAAAGAAGTGGAGTTAGAAAACTAAAAGGGAAGAACATGCTAAGCATTTCTCAAACCAAAAGAACTGAAGACAAAACTCAAGCCTCAGGTTGGAATACATAAAGATTCTATGGACGAAATAATGAATAATGCTGTTACTGTTTCGTGCCTGTAAAAAGAGCAAGGGCCATGTTGGGATGGCCATACCTGACCGTTACCAACTTCACAAAGGGGAACTGCCCCACCTACAACAAAACCCCCAATTCCCATAAGGTCAGACACATTCCCCAATACTCCTGCACGTCCTTCTCATCCTGACAATAATCTTACTGCTGGGTCCAAAATCTGATGCACTAGCTCACAGATAACACAGAACCTAGTTAAGGAAGTGAAAAATCCAGGTCAGTAGCAAAACACAGTCAGGACAGCTTTCAAAATGTGCTCGCAGGTACCTTTGAGTTGGCAGAGCAGCCTCTTACCCACTAGACTACAAGAGGTCCCTGTAGCAAGCTGATCTTGACCCCTGTGATCAGCCTTGGAGGCTTCTAAATTGCTCTTAGAATTGTGGTACATTCACATGATGGTATACTATATAGCACTGAGGAGCAATGATTTAAAAAGATACTACATAACTTGAAAGAGACTGGAGACCATTATGCTAAGTGAACTAACTCAGTTTCATAAGGATAAATGCTGCATAAAACCATTTTTGTAAAAATAGAATAATTAGTAAAAACAGAATAATTAGTACAACATGTATGGGAGTCCAAGGAGGGAGGAAAGTGTGGAAGTAGAGGGGTGACGATCAGTAGAAGGGATATCACAGGGTCGCACAATTCGGTAGGTGGAGGGAGGGAGTAAAGGAAATGGGAAAGACCCAGCAGAGATCTGAAAAGACAGGGTAATGGTGGGAATAGTTGAATGGTGATTAATTTTATTAAACACACTATGGAACATAATGTCAATGACAGAAAGTATGAAACACACACACACACACACACACAAAACCAAACAAACCCCAG